GTAATGCCCTTCCTTATCTTTTTATGGTGGTTTTCATTCTGAAATCTATTTTATCAGAGATTAATATCGCCACTCCTGCTTTCTTGAGGTTGCCATTTGCTTCATTTTTTTTTCCAGCCTTCAATTTTGAGTCTGTCTTTCTCTTCTTTTTTTAGATATTTCTCTTGTAGGCAACATATTGATGGGCTTTTTTTAAAAAAAATCCATCCTGCCATTCTTTTTTTCTTAATTGGTGCATTTAGTCCATTCACATTAAGTGTGATTATTATCGGGGCCGGTTTTACTTTTGCCACTTAGCCGTGTTTCTTTTTCTGGTGTTTCTGGTTACTATGGTCCATGCACTTACCTTTGGCATATCTGATTGAAGGACTTCACTTAAAATTTCTTGTAGTTTTGGTCTTGTTTTCATAAATTCCTTAAGTTCCTTCTTTTCTGTAAAGGATCCAATTTCTCCTTCATATTTGATAGAGAACTTTACTGGATACAGGATCTTTGGCTGGAAATTGTTTTCTTTCAACTTTCTGTATATGTCATTCCATTGTCTTCTGGCTCTCATGGTTTCTGCTAAGAAATCAGAACTAAATCTAATTGTTTCCCCATTGCAGGTGACTCTTTGTTTTTCTCATGCTGCTTTTAGAATTCTATCCTTATCTTTTAATTTGTAGACTTTGACTATGATATGTCTTGATGTTTTTCTTTATGATCTCATCTATTTGGCATTTGCTGGGCTTCTTGAATGTGGATTTCCCCATTCTTCAAAATACTTGGGAAGTTTTCTTCTAGGACTTCTTCCACTATTTCTCAGTAATTTCCCTGTCACTCCCCTGTTCTGGAATTCCAATCATATGTATGTTATTCTATTTGATGTCATCCCATATGATTCTATTGTTGCCTTTATTTTCTTTATATCTCATTTCCAATTTTTCTTCAAGTATGTTTACAGTGAGGTTCTTATCTTCCAGCTCACTGATTCCCTGTTTTATCTCTGCCATTCTACTTTTGTGTGTTTGTGTGTGCTGCCAGCATGTTGAACACATCTGTCATTTTGGTGTTAATATTCTGGATTGCATTTTCATGCTCTTCTGCTATTTCTAGTACTGTGTTGTCTGTGTCCTCTTTGTCTTGTGATGATTTTTTTAAGTTCTTGGGCCTCTTTATCTATTCTATTAATTCTTTCTTCCAGTTCCAGTTGGTCCTCATCAATATATTTCTTCTGGACTGTTGTTTCTAGGGTATTTGCTTTCTTGATTGCTTCTTCCATCATTTGCCTCTTTTTCTGTAGCTGAATTGGAAACCCAGGAAGCCTTGGTTTTCCCTTCAAGAACTGGCTCCATAACCTCAGTCAAATTCCAGCTGCCCCGCTCACTTGTGTGTGTGTTGCACACAGGCGTGTTGCTCTCTTATAGATAAAAATGTGGACATTTGATTTTCATAAAGATCTGGTTTATATGCATTGTTTATTTATGTCAGAAACGAAAACAAAACAATAATTTGCTTAATTTTCAACAAATGATCCAGAATATCTTTCAATGTGCTTCCTCACCCTTTCCTCCCCCAGGATCAGATGGCTTTTAGCATCACCAAATACAGAGCAGGGGTCCTCTCAAGCCATGGGTGTTCACCATGATGTGTACTTCATGGACTTAGGAAAGGATAGGGGTAGAAAAACTAGAGAAAAAGAAGACAAAGACAACCAGATAGAAGGAAAGTAAATAGGTCACTAGAAAAGTTAGAGGGAAGAGAGGAGAACCTGAGAGGGAGAAAATGGAAGAGGAGGACTGGTCAGTGGAAGAGGGAAGAGAAAGCAGAGAGAAACAGTTGAAAGGAATTCAATTGATAAGGATATCAAGGATGAGATTATTATCAGAAGAAATAAGTAAACAGAGAACACATATTTAAGAAGACAGGAAATATACAGAGCAATCATTTTAGACATGAAAATATTTTATTGTTAAAAATATAAATTTCTATAATTAAAGAATATAATTTTGTTCTAACTTGTGACTTGAGGTCAAGTGTGAGTACTGATTTGTCCATGAGGCCAACTCCTACAGTCTCACACTCATTCTCAGAGAGAAGCTTCTTTTGCAAAGTCAACTTTGCCCTATGTGTATTGCACTTAATTTGTGACTGCTTTGTCTTATTTAAAAAAGAGCATAAAACCTCAAAACTTTTTATAATGTTGCCTTGAGTTTCTATAACATCTTTAAAGGTTTTAAACTGATGTAATTTTCCTTAGCTATTACAATATCATTCTAAAGTAGGCAAAAGATCTATCATTTTACACTCATTCTATAATACAAAACCAAAATGGAACAAAAATTAAAAATAGAGTTAAATAATATATACACACAATGTTTGGATTAGAAATGCTTCACCTTAATTTTTCTATTTTAATTGAGTGTAACAAAGTTAAAATATTTCCATATATTTAATTGATGAAAATATTTAAAGGTGGTTGAAATTACAAGTATTTTCAGCTAGGACAAGGGAAACCACTTTTGAAAATCAAAGTCTGAGAGAAAAATTTAAGTATTTCACTCTGGTTAGCTGTTTAGTTCTATTTTCCTTTTATTTGGATATTTCATTTTGTCTTAAAAGTTGGGCCCTAATTTCTACCATCATTAGTGGCCTAGTGGATAAAGAATTATGCTGCCAAGCCAAAGGCAGGTAGAGGTGGATTTGCTGTTCCCAGGGAGAAAGATAAGCAGATAGGATCAATTATGAGTTGGTTTCAACTCAATAGTAATGAGGGCTTTTTATTTTTTGTTTTAGCATCATAATTTTTATTCATAAACTTTGGCTAATGTACTCCTTTTGGAACCACAGATTAATACTCAACTGCTTCATGGTAGACCCTTCATTTTTATTTCATCTTTCATCTCTTTTTTGGCCTTCACAGAGTGAATAAAGGCACTTCAGAATGTCATAGAACCTATAATTATCTTTAAGGTGTCTTTTTTGTAACACCTTAAGTTCAGTTGCCTGAGCTACTGAGTGTTAGAGGGTCAGTTATGGATCATTTCTAACCTCACAGTAATGACTTTGTCTTTGAACTGTGGTGTCACAGAAGAACAGAACATCCCATGGACTGTCAAAAGAAGAAACAGACATGTCTTGGATAAGGTGCAGGCAGAGTGCTCCTTGGAGGAAAAGATAACAAAGCTTCATTTCACATTCTTTGGGCATGTTGCTAGGAGAGGCTATTTTTTGCAGAGGGTCATCATGCTTGGAGAAGTGGAGGGACAGGAGAAGAGAGAAAGACCTTCCATTAGGAAGACTGACACACAGTGACTGCAGTAATGGGCTCAGGTGTGTCAGAGGTTGTGAGGAAGCCACAAGATAGTATGGGGATCAGGTCTGTTAGTCATAGGGTCTCTTTGAGTCCTACTCGACTCAACAGCACCTAACAGTAACAAGTTGAGTAGCCAGTAAACTCTGGTGTAAATTCTACATTTCGGAAAGAGAAAGAAATAGAGTTGAAGACACATTTCTTATCTTTGAAGCACTTAACAGGGCTGATGAAATGATCTTTTTTCTTTTTACAACCTGCTTTTTTGTCTCCTAAGAAGGAGCTCTGATGGTGTAGTGGATAGAGAGTTGTGCTCCTATTTCAAAGCTGGCCCCTCTCTAGCAGTTCAAAACCAATAGTGGCTCTGCAGGAAAAGATGGGCAATCTCACGTGTGCTGGAGGATCAATTATGGTTCATTTCTGACCCCACAGCAAAGACTTTGACTAACTGAATGACTTTGAGTAACTGAAAAGGTAGCTCTGATGTCTAGTCTATAGAGTTGTGGTGCTGACCCAAACATGCCTCTCTGGCAGGTCAAGTCCACCATTAGTTCTATAGGACAAAGACAGGCGATCAACTCTGGTGAAATTTTCTACCTCAGGAATGCAAGGGAGGGTCAGCCAAAAATTGGAACCAACTTGAAGGCAATAAGTGAGTGAGTTAATGACTGATGAAAGAATTGTGTGATCTAGTGGCTCTCTACTTCTGAAATAACAGGCCTTTGAAAACCCTATGTACAATAGAGCATACTTAGAGTATACTGGCTCCAGATAGGGCAAGATTCAGAGCTATTGCACATTAGGGTAACTATGAGTCTCGAGTGACTGGATAGCACATAATAATAACAACAACAGTCGCATAGTCTGTAACAAGTTGTGCTCCTAACCCAATGACCAGGTATTTCTGACTTTGTAAATCTATCAGGTGCTCCTCCGGGGAAAGATAATCTCCTCTGAAATGACTAACAGCCTTGGAAACATGACGGAGGGTCCCTATGAGTTAGAAGCTAGGGCAAGGCACTGAGGTTTTAGTTTGAATGAGTATTAAATTCCTGGTTTATATTTATTTACAGTGCTGTGTTATTTTCTCACAACTTTTTAAAATACTGACTTCAACAAACCCTACAGTGTTGCAAATCTGTATTTCACCCAGAAAAGAGTGTGTTCTTCCTCAAATACTAGTGATTTAATATTCTACTGGCCTTTACAACAGAATAAGGAAGACTTTCTCTAGTAAATTTACAATTCAAAGGCATTCAATAGGTTGATAGCCAAAGACAGGAGCTCTAGTGGCACTGTGGTTAAGTGCTTGGCTGCTAACTGAAAGGTGAGTGGTTCAAATCCACCAGGTGCTCCATAAGAAAAAGATACCACAGTCGGCACTAATATGTACTACACCCTTGGAAACCCTACAGGGCAGTATCACTGTACTATTTGGTCATCATGAGTTTAAATTGACTCAGTAACAATGGGCTGGTGTGGAGGAGTAGGTACATCAGCCAAGATGAAGTAAAATCTCATTTCTCCAGAAATAACATAGTTTTGGCAAGTCACTTAAGGAAGGCTTAATCTTGGGGGTCAAATGTGACAATGTAGCAAAAACAAGGCAGTAAATGTTATTGAAACACAAATAATAAAATGCATCGTCCCGGAGTCACAAAGTATTGGACTGTTATGTGCAGGAGGCCTGTTGAAAGTAGCTACTGAGCTATGTGTTCTTCTGCAGCCACTCAGCTAGCATGGCGCTCCGCTTTTTTATTTTGAGATTCTCATTCTTTATCATCTGTAGTTTGGCGTGAACTGTGATCTTCTGGTGCTCCTCCAACATGTTGCTGAAAAGCTGCTGCAACTGAAAGGACAGAAAGGCCGGTGATAAGTGATTCTGACATATCACTAGAATAAGACAATGTTAATGCTAATTAGTAACTTGATTTTTCAAGCGATAATTAAAGTTGTGTGGCTGTAAAAAGCTAAAAGCAACGTGGAGTTCCTTGTGCCATGCGAGAAGAGCGCGTTTGATGGAAGGCAGAACTTGAAAGTGATGAAGTTGGATATTTAGCTTTGGAGGTTTCTATGAAAGATCTTGAAGAGACTACATGGTTTAGTTAATAAAATATAAAAGGAATGAGAAGGGCTTGAAAATGAACTGTGCAAAAAGATAAGAAAATGTAAAGATTTGGAAAATTCAGCTTTAGAGACTACGTACAACTGTGCTAGAATTTTCAACAAGGACAAGTATATATAGTTTTTGTTAAAGGCAGTAATCCTATAATAGAGAGATTGCACCAACTACCACAGCAGAAAATAAGCTTAGTCTCAAGGGCTCATATAAAGGATGTAAGGAAAGAATGCTGTCTGCCTCTTGGAACTATACAGGAAACAGGAAATAGTTTTGTTGCTCAAAGCTGAAGGAGTAGGTTGACATATTCAAGGAGCAGAAGAATAGGTCCCACTGGGCTGAAGGGTCTGGGCTGCCATTCAGATGTACAAGGAGAATGGAGCCAGGGGAGTAAGTAGACTTCTCACTCTAGTAGGCCAAGGAAGCAGAGCTGAAGTCCATGGCTAAGGAGACTTCACCTAAAATCCAGAGGGAATGACTAACATGCAGAGTCTTGAAGGAAGGACACACATGGTCTCAGAAAATAATGTTTTCAAGCCTATAGAGCTAATAATTTAAAAGATTCTGCTAGGTTTGGGAATTGCTTGATGCCTGACATCCCTTCTTTGCCTTCAATTTCTCCCATTTATAATGAAAACGTTTGATGCTGTTGTTGTTACATGCCATCAAGTTGACTACTACTCATACTGAATCCTGCTCTATCCTGAGCCAATCCCACTGTCTATGGCACACCTATCCTTATCACCTCAGTTATTGTTATGAAAATAAAGCGTGGGCAAAGAGAAGACTTTCAATGAGATGGATTGATGGTGACTACAACAATAGGCTAAAGCATGATGGAGATTATGGGATGGCACAGAACAGTGCAGAATTTTAATCTGGTGTTCATAACAAGGATCACTATGGGTTGTATAATTGTTGATGTCAGTTGGATTATCCTTCCTGATGTCAGTTAGATTTTGACTGAAAGCAGAGAGTATTGGAAACATACTTATCTGTGTTCAACTGACTATGCAAAGGCATTTGATTTTGTGGATTGTCCAGATTTCTGGAACTCTCTTTGCTTCTTTCTTAAATGTGATGGTTCACCTTTCTTTGGAAAATGTGTTTTAGGCTATATCCTTAATCTTTAAATCATGGATTGAATAATAATTCTCCAACAAGCTGGAAGAGAATGGAATTTAATAATAAATGGTCAACAAACTGGAAGAGATTCATATTTGTTCTCATGCCACCCTAAAAGGTGATCCAACAGAATGTGGAAATTGTCAAACAATGTCAATATCATCACATACACATACAATCTTGATGAAGATTATTTTTTAAAATGTCTAATTTTTAACGTTGCCAGAGAACTGCCAGAAAATCAAGCTGGATTTAGAAGACTCTGGGGATGACATTGCTGATGTCAGATGGATCTGGCTGAAAGCCAAGAATGTTAGATGTCTATTTGTTTTTCATAACAATGCAAAGGCATTTGTCTGTGTGTACCATAACAAATTATGGCTAAGTTTGAGAAGAATGATAATACCAAAACCCTTAAATGTGCTCATGTAAAACATGTACCTCGACCAAGAAGCAGTTGTGTGAAAAATTAATGGTTTAAAATTAAGAAAAGCATGTGTCAGGGCTGTATCTTTTCTCCATACCTATTCAATCTGCATACAGAACAAATAATTTTAGAAATTGAACTTTATGAAGAAGAATGTGGCATCAGGATCAAAAGACTCATCAACAACCTATGTTAGGAGATGACATAACCTTGCTTGCCAAAAGTGAAGAAGATTTGAAACACTTACTGAAGAGATCAAAGACTTACAGACTTCAATATAAGTAACATCTCAACATTAAGAAAACAAAAATTTTCACCACTGGGCCAAAAGCAACATCATGATAGAGAAAAGATTGAACAATTTCATCTTGCTTATATGCACAATCAACACACTTGGTAGCGGCAGTTAAGAAATCAAAAGACATTTGGCATTGGGAAAATCTACTGCCAGGGACCCCTTCCAAAGTTATAAAGAGCAATGAGGTCAATTTAAAGACTGAAGTATGCGTACTCCAAGTTAAGTTCTTTTCATTTACTTTTCAGACATCTGAAACATCTGAACAATGAATAAGGAGGATAGGACAAGAAACTGTGCCTTTGAGTTGTGGTGTTGGAGAAGAGCACTGACTAGTACTAGTCAATGAAATAGAGGAAAACTTCACCAATATATATGACATAGTGACTTACAACAGGTTCATGTATATTAGAGATGATGGCACAGGGTAGAGTTCCAATGGGTTGTTGTCTACTAAATAGTACCTAACAACAACAGTATTGTTTTTATTTTTGTTTCAATTCCCAGAAGTTCTCTTCTCATTAGAATGAGTAGAAATGTATATCCCTAGATTATATGTCACTCATGAGACTGAGCTGCTCAGTGCAACAAAAACAACACTGATGCCACCACCTCCCCCTCTTTGCCCTCAAGAATTAAGTGTACACTGGAAGTTCCATTAAACAGGAACTTTGTTTCTCTTATTCACTGCTCAATTTCCAAAACACAGATTATTTGTTATTTGATGTCATTGTTGTTATAACCGAGACGCATAACAACATTATGCACAATAGCTCTGAACTCTGCCCTAAAATGAGCCAGTCTACTGTCTCTGACACACCTGACCCCAGTCACTGTGTCAATTCATCTCCGGGGTCCTCCTCTCCTGTGCCCTCCACCTTTCCAAGCCTGATATCCTTCTCCAAGGATTGATCCCTCCCAGCAACGTGCCCAAAGCATGTGAGATGAAGTGTTAATTATATATTTAGCGAATGCATCATGGATATTATAAAAATTTGTAGACAGGAATACTATGGGGCATTTTTTTAATCTCAAAAGGAATTTTCCAACTTTCAGTGGTCTCAGTTACTATATGACGTTTATGGTTTTACAATTGTCATCTTTTACTAAAGAATTATATAGCAAGTAGATTCACTCATAAGCTAAATTCCTTTAAGTCCAGCCAAGCACATCGTTATGGAAAATTTGCCTCAATATTGTATATAAGCCAGATACCCAACTGATTAAATAAATTATATTTCAAAACTCTCTTTCTGTATCTGTGGTCTTGAACTCAGAACACCGTATGATGATAATTTATCTATTGTTTTTCTGCTACCTCTTCTAGAGTCAATCCTGATTCTTGGTGACATTCACAAAGGCTCATTTACACTCTGAGGCAGCAGAGCCCATAGCATGGTGTGTTGCTAACTAAAAAGAATTTCAGTCTCCAACGGTTCTAAACTAGTGATGACTCTGGGGAAAAGATGAGCAATGTCCTTTGGTTCAGATAGCCCAAGGAAGCCCAATGGAAGGTTGCTATACGTCAGGTTCAACTGGAAGGTAGGAGCAAGTTGATGCAAATCAGTATTTAAAATGGAATCATAATAGGATAGTTGCTTTTGTTGTTATGTGCTGTTGAATCACCTGCGACTCATAGCAACTATATATACAATAGCTCTGAATCCTGCCCTATCCTGAGCCAGTCTCACTGTCTCTGACACACCTATCCCAATTACCCTAGTTACAATGTCAATCCATCTCATTCTGGGTCCTCCTCTCCTGTGCTGACCCTCTACCCTTCCATAATGTCCTTGCCTCCAAGGAGCAGCTAGGTTTCACCCTCCTCTCTGGGACATATCTGTTAGTTCTTTTGGCAGTCCATAGCTCAAAGGCATCAAGTCTTCTGTCATTTTTATTCATTGTCTAGCTTTATGATGCATTGAAAGTAATTGCAAAGACAATAAGATCATAACCTGGATCAGGTGCACCCTACTCTCTAGACAGACATTGTTGTTCTTTAGCACTCTGGCAAGGTCCCTAAGCAGATTTTTCCCAGTTTAATTTGTTTTTATTTCCTAACTGCTGGAGCCAAAGGTGTTGATTGTGGAACTGAGTAAGCTGAAATTGTTAGCAGTCTCATTCTCTTATCTATCATGGTACTGCCAAAAAGCCCAGTGGCAAGAACTTTTATTTTCTTGATATTGAACTTTAGTCCATATTGGAGACTGTAGTCCTTGACCTTCTGCAGCAAACGATTCAGATCTCCCCCAGTTTAGGCAAGCAAGTTTGTGTCAGCTGCATACTGCCAAGTTGTTGATGAGTCTAATTACAATGCAAAAGAAGATCTGATTCAAGGATGGAAAAGTCGGAGTCCCTGGGTGGTGCAAATTGTTAGTCAGCAAGCTCAGCTGCTAGCCAGAAGTTTGGAAATTGATCCCACTAAGAGATGCCTCCAAAGTTTAGTAATCTAATTCTTAAAATCAAATGGAAAAGTCCTATGGAATGCAATTGTACCCTGACACACATGGGATCACTGTGATTCTGCCAGTAGACAACAACTCTTAGGGAACCAAGGAAAAGTTCTCACTCCTTTCTTTACCTAGCCACACGACTAACGAGCCCTGGTAACTTAGTGCTAAGAAGTTAAACTGTAAACTCAAAGGCACGTGGTTTGAACCCACCAACTGCTTCACAGAAGAAAATGGTCAATCTCTTTTCTGTGTGATTTATTGCTTCTGAAAACCCATTGGAACGACAGCTATGAGTCAGTTCTGATTCAACCATACACAACAACAAGCTTCACTTGTAGGCAGTAAGAGCTCTAAGTCCACAGTTCTTCACCCCAACCATGTGTCCTGTCAGTAAGTTGAAGGGAAGTAGGACCCTGTGTGATTTTAAGCG